TCATTCTAATTATACTTGGAGAAGAGTATAAGATATGAAGCTCCTCATTACGTAGATCTCTCAACCTCTTCGGTTCAAATATTCTCCTCAACACCCTGTTCTCAAACACCCTCAGTCTATGTTACTTACAGCTACTAGTACTGTTAAATTGTATTTCTTATGATCCTAACTCCTATTTCTATGTAGCTTCTACACCTTAGTGGATGCTGGGAACGTATATTCATTAAGCACAGTGAAGTCTTCACACATTAGAAACCTCACATCAGGGGCCACGCAACGCTGTGTGAGTAAACCAAGAACAGAAGGAGTTGTATCGTTATTTGCCTCGAGATCCCATCTGCATTGTACCTTGAGTCCGTGAGGGAATCGTGTGAAAGTTGCAACTACTGCAGAAAACAGAGATCTTCCTGTTGCAGTATCTTTTAGCGTGTCACAATCCACATATGTTTAATTCATGAATTTGTAATTGTAATCGTTTCTATCAGCTCCCATCCTCTGTGTTCTTACAGCTTCGTGATTTTATTTCCGCCAAAACCTATGGTGAAATTATCATGTGAGATGGGATAGCTCATTCGGTATAGCTAGGAGCAGGACGGCTGGGGTTCAATTCTCGGCAGAGGAAAGAGATTTGTCTCCACTCCACAGCTTCTAGACCGGCTCTGAGGCCCACCCAGCGTCCTAACCAGTGGGTAACGGGGTTGTTTCCCGGTCAAGCGGTCGGGACATGAAACTGACCGCTCATCTCCGTCTAATACCGAGGTCAAGAATGGTGGATCTGTACCTTCACTCCCGTAGTCTTCATGGCGTGATACTTAATTAAGTTTAGGTACAACTTTACCCGGTGTTTCATAAAAACCAATGAGGGTTAGAATATGTACGCTACGTGTAAATGCGCCGGTCCACTCTTAACGGAAGGGTCCTATATAGAAGGGATCCAAGGTGTTGGAGAACAAGGTGGTGAGGTTGTCTGGAAGTAAGAAGGGTTAAATAACGAGGAACCGGAGACATAATGCTGTTAAGGCGATTAGATGAAGATGCTGGGATACGGAGTAGGCGATTTGCATGGCAGAAACGAGGCATATCTACTTCAAAGGAAGATATCAGTTGGAAGACCTTGGAGATGATAGGATAATATTAAAATGAGCCTTAGAGAAGTAGGATATGTAGGTGTGAACTATCTGGTTGTGAACGTGGCTCCAGTATAGTGTCCAGAATTGTGAACGTGGTGAGTGAACGTCTAGGATGCACAAAAAACTCTGAATATATTGATCGGCTGAATATCTGCCGTATGTTCAAGAAAATCCTGTACAGTCAAGTCAGTAAGAAGTGACTCGATCTCTCTGGTGGGTAATTCAGTTTGTTGGACGCTACATACCAAGTTCTTTCTCAGTACAGCCTAATTTTGATATCCTGCTGTGACATCTAAAACACAGTTCCTTATTCTGTGTGGAGCGGGTGTAGAAGTCCCAATGAGTGACGTCATTACACCATACTTCGTGATTTTCTTCTCCACGCTCTGATGACTGGCTGACAAGTGATGTAACACACCCTTTGTCTTGAGCAGTCTTGTTATCGGCTGCGATCTGTAACAACTTCCGCAGGATGATGAACTCGGCCACCATTTTCTATCTCGACGTCCCACAACCCTATGGGCTTCCACGGCCTGTTACAGGGATAACTTTACTAACTTCTTAGAGCACCCACGATACAAATCGGTTATGAAATTGGACCGACCTGTCATCAATTGTAGCGCCATGACGTGTAAAGCTAAAGTACTCGTAGTCTCCGTGCCTATTTATGCACCGTGTCATGAAAGTGTATGGAGGAGTGCAGGTATAGCTTACGTATTCGTAAGCTCGGCAGTAGATGGAGGTGAGTGATTACCTTCACGCTTCGGCTGCAGCAGGTTATGACTCTGGAAAAGGTAAAAATCTCTGTCCCTACCAGGAATCGAACCCCCGTTTCCTAGTTACGGCCCTAACAGTGACTTGCTGCCGCCTTGAATAGCGAGACTGAGTTCTGACAGGGCACGGATTGTACTCTATGTTAGCATGTCAGACCATTTCTGAAACCCATCCAACCTCACATCCAGCGTATACCGGAAAAGTAAAGTGGTCAGATCGTGAACTCATCTACATATCGTGAGAAAGTATGTATGAGTGGAGTCTTACCTCCACTCTTCCTCGTTGACGTGGTGCTTACAAGTTAATCACAGCCAAGTTGGCTTTTTTTCCTCTAGGCTAGGGATGTGTTACTGTCCTCACAGCGCTTAACTAACGGAACAGCACTCGAAAACGAGACTCTTAGACTTCCAGTGACGCAGAAAATTCCGGTTTTGTGTGAACCCAAGAGAGAGATAGAAAATAAATCGTAACAGAACTTTTTCGCTGGAAATTGTGGTAGAGTTCATGTAATTCGCAACGATATTGTGAGTAACGAATCTGTTTTTTTTTTAATGGCTCTTCCAGCCCATTTAGGGCCCTGGCCTCTTATTTAGTTTCGTAATCATTTTCACAGACCGTAGGACTCCTTGGACGAGTGATCAGCTCGTCTCAAGGCCTCTACGTAAGCACAGGACAACACAAACACAGAATAAGCCCATACACACACCAAACATCCATGCCTTAATTGAGACTGAGATTGAGCGTCCGAGCGAGCGAAGACAGTTCATGCCTTAGACCGCGCTGCTACTGTGACCGGCATCTGGATGTTGTACCTAATGAAATTAAGATTAGATGAAAATCTGGAAAGCTTTCTGCAAATAAGTTTATATTTTATATCTTCCCCGCCCTGTATAAAAAGCAGAAGATGCCAGTTTATAGAAATGTAGTTCTGTACCTGTTGTTTTGTATGGCTGTCAGTCTCTCGCTCCGAGGTAAGAGTACGAGCGACTGCGAGCCTGCTATTGATTGGAGGTGTACGAGAACGAAGTAATGAGCAGGATTGTTGAACTTAAGCAGCATGTCATAACAGAGAGCATCATGAAGGTGGATCCTGCCTTAGTACAGTTATTTAAATATTTCTGGATATTTATTTATGGTCTAATATTGTATTGCCGGGGTAGCGTAGTCGGTATAGCGACTGGCTACGGGCTGGACGACAAAGGGGTCGGAGTTCAAGATCCGGTTGGACCAAGAATATTCTCTTCTCCAAATCGTCCAGACCGACTGTGGCCCAACTTCCTATACAGTGGGTACCGGGGGCTTTTTCCTGGGGGTGAAGCCGACCGCTCACCTCCATCTAGTGCCGAGGTCAAGAAAATGTGGATCTATGCATCCACTCCCCCATACGCCTTTATAGCGTAGTGCTTAATTCGTTGAGCACGGGGACAGCTTTATCTTTACTTAATATTGTATTTAAGCATCCTGTTGCATTAATGTATGTTTTGTATATGCATAGTAACGTGTTAAATGCAACTTATCTGATCACCCTTCTAGTTCACTACATGTTTCGGTGCTGCCTATCTTGCTAAAATTGTTGCACTGTTAATACGCCGCAAATGGATTTCGGTGCGAATCCTACAATGAGAAATACTCACAAGCAAATATCATTTTAAATTAATGGACGACGACCACAATGGAAATAACATTAAGATGTTAATTGATTTAAATTTTAATTCTAAGCGTAATTCATTTTAATCAGGAAATAACGCAATCAAACGCAATGTACACGTATAACTTTGACATACAGTGCAACAATTTTGGCAAGATAGACAACGCCTGATGATGTCCATATACGGCCGAAACATATAATGAGGTAGAAGGGTCAGTAGATCATAAGTTGCATTTAACACGGTAATATACACGCATGTGGACATAAGATATTTATGGACTGTTTGACGACGCCGTCAGTAGCTCAAACTATATATAATCGAATGGTAGGGTGATCGATCAGTGATGAATTGGAAACGACGTGGAAAAAAAAGAGTGGTCATAACCTATTGCAAGGTACTATGCTGACTGGATAATTGTGATTCATCCCTGATTTAACATTCGTTCTGCTACGTGACTTGCACATCGCCAAAGCTGATTAGTCGCCCCAAAATACAGTCCATCAGAAGACACTGTGTAGTACTGTGCTTAAGGAGACGTCTTCATATTCCATTGCAGGATGAATGTTGCATCACAAACAGGAGTATCCTCCCATGTACACAGACATACGTGAGAAACAGTAATTGAGGAATTGGACACCTTTGTTGTACACCTGTGTGATTTTGCTAACCCCTGTTTTCCAGTATTCAGGCGCGCGTGCCGATGAATATGTCTGGGGGAGAAGGGTGTGTGGTTTGGGAGTGTACCCCCCCCCCCCTTGCGGGGGCGGNTATGTGCGTGCATACGTGCGCTTGTGTTTTGTGTCAAAGTTTGCCTTACAACAAAAACAGTTATGTATTCCTTTTCGTGATTACTCTTGTCATGTACAGGAACTCGCTTCCCTTTCACGATTTAATTGGGGTGACTGAAGAAAATAAATTATGATGCATTATACTGCAGCTTTCCCCCGTTCCTCGAGACAGTTTCTATGTAGTTAGTACCTCTGTGCATGTTATGCTGTTCAGATTTCAGACCCAAGAATCCAGAACTGTTTTAGATATGCAGATATTTATCTCCTGGTTTATTTAACAAAGTGGTGGTGATGGTGGTGGTGGCGGCGGCGGCG